TTTTTATTCCATCAATTCCTGGTGCCTTGTTCTTTGCCAATTCCTTCAATACACTTTGGACTTCCTGAGTATCATTGGCTCTTGTTCATATGGTACCTCTTGAAATGGTTGTGTAGGTGCTCAATAAATATTTATTGAATGGAAGAATTCTCATGGGCCATTCCTTTCTCTTAAATTTCTGCAATCTGTAGCATTCTTACAGGATTTACCTCTATGGCTGTTTCTGCTGATAGCCACTTATGTAAGCTTTTATTTCACTGTGAGCTCCCTGAGGACAGGGGCCTAGGAAAGGGCTTGGCTCCTGGTAATCATTCCTGTCATTTGTGCAACACTTTACACTCCCCCCATATATGATGGGATTAAATCCTTAACAAAGAGAGCCAGCAAGCGGGGAGAACAGATATTCTTAGCAGAACTGGCCATTCTTAAGTCTACTGCCTTCTAGATCAAGCTCAACAAGTATCTGTTCAATGAGATTAAAAAAAGAATTCCCGAGTCATTTTATGGAATGAGGCAGCCCTAATGGACTGGTTCTCTATTGAGTAGGTGGCGATGTGGGCAGTGACCTTTTTACTTTGCTTGCCAATTCGCTAACTAAAAGACGTCCTGGTATACGAGGGAGCTTAAAAAAGTTCGTGGAACAATTCCATTATGTTTTCATTCCATTTTTTCACGGACTTTTTGAAGGCCCCTCATATAGTAGGTGTGTTCAATAAATGGCGTGGCTCCAGTCTGTTTAGTGATGTGGCTCAGGTGCAGTGACTTGTTCTAGGTATCATACGTTGTTATTGTTATGTGCCGTGGAGTCACTTCTGATTCATAGCGACCCTGTACAGTTTCCAAGGTTGTAAATCTTTACGGGAGCAGAAAGCCTCATCTTTATCCCGCGGAACAGCTGGTAGTTTTGAACTGCTGACCTTGACGTTCGCAGCCCGATTCCTAACCACTACGCTACCGGAGCTCCTTTGGTCTCCTACGTAGAAAGGGGCAAAACTGGAATTACACCCAGGTTAAATTCGGAGCCCAAGCTCTTAACCACTGCTCTTCCCAACACTCTCTCTTGGTTAGGCTGGTCCCGGAGTCGACATCAGTTCCGGGTCCATCGCAGAAGTGAGAGCATGAATGGGGTGGGTCGGGGAGGGACTGCCCCTCCCAAGCCCAGTGCCTTCCGCATCCCCGCCCGGGAAGCCACCCGCTTCTGCGGACACAGAATCAACAGCCGGGCCCTGGAGCTCGCGGAAGGGTCCTCAGCACCCGGGCCCTAGACCCCAGACCCCAGACCCCATCCCCGCCTTCCCGGTCGGCTCGGCCACCGCGCCCCGCCCCACCCGCGCAGGCCCCGCCTATCACTTCCCCATTTGGCGCTCCTCCCCCCGCGCTGCGCTCCATACTTGGCGATCGCCGCGGCCCTGCGAGTTCATTGGCCGAGATTAGGCTGCGTGGGGCGGGCCCGGCCCAGGCCGGGCGGGGAAGGAAGGTGGTGGCGGCCCGGCGCTGGGGGGAGGGGGGCGCTGACCCGGATGTTCACTCCTGGGCACCGGGGGAAGTGGAAGCGCCGGGCCCTGCTGCGGGGGGGAGAGCCACAAACGCCGGGACCTGGACCGCCGCTGCCGCCGCCACCATGGTAAAGGCCCGACGTCACCCTCCTGCAGCCCCGGGGGCCCCGCCGGAGCTCGCGTTCCCCTCTCCCTGCCGACCCCCGGCTCGTGCAGGGTGGGTTCCGGAGGGGTGGGGGAGGGGCGGGGTCCCGAGCCCTAGGTAGACACCCTCCTTCCCGGCTCTGGAAGGGGCGGCCGTCCCGGTTGGTTTGGGTGGTCAGTGACCCTGCGTTTCCCTCCCACTCCCCGCCCTTGACTCAAGCTGGAGTTCCACTCTCCACCTCTGGGTCCAAACTAGTCTCCCCATAGCCCAGGCTAGACCCTCCTCCGTTCGTCTCTGGGCCAGGCATCCCCTCCAGTGTCCCAGGTGTGAGCCTCTCCTTCCTTTCCCCTCCCCTTGGCTTGGACGAGCTCCTCTTCTCTCTTCCTCTTTGGCCCGGGCTAGGCCACCGTTTCTCCCTTCCATTACCCAGGCTAGGCTCCCTACCCCAGGGTCCAGCCTAGGCCGCTGCTCCCACGGCACTCTCTTCTCCGTGGGCCCGGTCTGCAACTCCGTCACTCCCCACCTCCTTCCTGTGGCTTCAGCTTAGATTTGTTCCACCTCTTCTCCAAGGCCTCAGTCTGAACCCTCTCTCTTATCCCACGGGTTGAAGTCTGGACTTCCCCTCATCCATGGTCCCCGTGGACTCTACTTATCGCATTGATGTCCCACCACTCTTAGCTCATGCCACGTTTCCTCCCGCCCGTCTTCGGTTTTACCCTGCCACCAGGGCCCTGCCCCCGACCCAGATGGCACCCTCCTCTGTGCCTAGAGCGAACCTTCTCAGAAGCCTCTCAGCCTGCAAGCGCGGGATAGCTAGCTCTCCAGCCAGCGAAGGGATGGCGCGTCCCTTTCCAGGGTGAGGGGTGCCCTTTCTGGAGAGGCCGCCTGGGAGCAAGAGAGAGAAGGGCGGGCATCTGTGTGCCCGGAAGGCAGCGCAGCGCGCTGTGGGCCTTCCCCGCCTTCGTTTAGCGGGTGCGGTGCATTAGGCGCGTCCTAGACGGTGGCGGGTTCCGAGGCGTCGGGGCCTGAGTGGGAGGGGAGGGCTACGTGTAGGGGAGCCCACCGGACCGGGATGAGCACACAATCACCCTTGTGATGATTTAGCCCCTAAAGGTCCGCCAGGGCCGTATCCCAACATAAGGCCTGGACACGATGCACCCTGCCAGGCGTACCCTCCCTTTCCCCCTGAACTGTCAACTCGTGAGGGTTGGAACTGCAGATTATGGGGGTGCCTCGGATTCGGTGAGCTAGCCATGCCTGGAGAGAACTGCCTCGTGGTGTTTGTTTTGGTAATGAAGGCCGGTTCTGCCTTCTGGCCCATCTGACAGGTTTCGGAGTTCACTGAGGTCCCCAGAAGTCCTCATAAGGGAGCCTGCCCTTTCCGGCTTTGCAACCCTCTGCAGAGCAGGCCTAGCCCCCAGAGTGGAAGGGCCTGTACAGGGCTTTTGCGGCACATGGACCTGGGAACCTGTGGGGATAGGACTGAGAGAGCCCATCCCATCCATCCACCTGCTGCATCAGGCAGTGGCCTCACTAAGGGGTGCAGACCACACCGGGTGGCAGAGTCAGAGGGGCTGACACCAAAATGACTGTTGTAAAAATTTTTGTGTGGTGCTTCAACAGAAGTGTATTATTTTTTTGTAAAGCGGTTTTCATAAGCCCATTTTACATGTATCCGTGTCCCTACCTGCTGAAAGACTGTGCTGTCTTCCTCTTTGAACCTTCCAATGTTCTCTGCTCAGAGCTGTCACTATTACTCGAGTACAGTGACGCTGGGATTCACAGGGTTTTGTCTGCACACGCTGCAAGCATGTGCTGTTGTTTTCATTGCTGCTGGTATTTTTGTATTTGTTGATTTTGTCCAATATTCTAGTGTTTTAGCTACTATATCGTGGTAATACGTATTTGTGAATCTATACCAATAACTTTTTTGAGAATGAAGTTATAATTAATGGAAAAGAGAAAACTTTTTTTTAAAAAAAAGGCTTCTGTCCGGTTACTAATAATATAACTAATACTGTAATTCAATGTAGAAAGAGTTTACAAAACAATTTTGTTAGTATTCTTATAGTTCAAGAAATATTCCATTTAAACAGTTTGTAGCTATATTTATCACATTCTATGATTAAAATTGATAATAAGCATTACTGAGGATTCTCTTTGGGGGCTGGGGTTACTGCACTGTTGTCACCAACCCTTTGATGCCATCAGAGCCCTGTGCGGGGGTTGCGCCCGCCCAGGGCAGGGTGGATTCTTGTATGTGGACTTTGTGTCTCAAAGGTTTGGAGGATTCTGGTTCCTTGTTTAATCAAGGGATTGGCAGGTGAAGTAAGGTGACTAATTCAGCCTGGCTAACCATTTTCTTGCTGCTCTCCTTAAATGCTGTTTAGAAACATGGTCCATGTCCGTACCCTCCGCCTAGGTGGGACAGGATTTCTCTAAGGCAGGGTTGAGATGAGGCTTTAACAAAATGGACGAAAGGTCTTTAACTGTGCTCCTGGTGAAGGTGGTTGGAGAGCAAGTGGGTGGGGCTGTTTAAGGCAGCATGTCAGGCGGGTGGGGTGTCTGGCTGCCTGATTCTGATGGGATTTGATGGGACCGTGCCTGTAATGACCCAGGAGGAGTGATGACACTGAGACTCTAGAGTTCTGTCTTGGGCTCTCAATTTGGAGAGCCGGAAGAGGTGAGGGAGGGGGAAGGCTAACATTTCCTAGGGACCTGCTTCACCTGTATGAGACCATGTAATTTACACAAAACCCATTGGGGGTAGTTGTTTTCCCATTTTACAGCCAAATAAACGTATTCAAGGTGTTGCCTGGTCAGTGGAAGAGCCATTGGCAGTCAGAGGAAGCGCACTAGGCAAGCTCCAACCTGAGTTCCTCCCATTGGGTCCAACTGCCTCTGCAGGAAGATACAAATGACACTGTTTAGGAAACGTAGTAGTGGGACCTAAGAGATGGGAAGGAGGTGTGGCATTTATATATATTTTAAAGTTTTTATTGTGAATTGAGTGAAAGTTTACAGGGCAGATCCAAAGTTTTACATTTAACAAATCATATACTTTGTTTCATTACAATGAATATAATCCCTTTCCTGTACCATCAGTTAACAGTATTTCTCTCTATTAATTTTAGTTCTTTTTTTTTTTTTTTCAAACACTCATGTATATATAATAATTTAAACCACTAAAGGGCACATTCTGCAAGTCTGCCTCATGGCTACCAGCTCTCAGTCCCTCTCTTCCCATGAATGTAGAGTCTTCAGCTGCTCCCTCTCTCCATGTCCTCATCTCTGCCTCCATCTCTGGTGGTGTTTCTTCTCTGGATAAGGTCCTGTATTCTGCTTGTGCTCTTCTCCCTTGATGGTCCTGGGGTCCTCTGTTTCTGGACTGTAAGATTAACTACTTCCCCGTTTTTTTTTTTACAAAACTTTATAATCAGTCATGATCAGCCACGATAACAGTTAACTATTGAATCATAAGAGTCTTATCCCCATCTCTTTTCACTAGACCCATCGTAGTGTCGTGGTTATGAATTGGGCTGCGAGCCACAAGGTCAGCAGTTTGAAACTACCAGCTGTTCTGCGGGAGAAAGATGAGGCTTTCTGCTCCTGTAAAGATTTACCGCCTCAGAAATCCTGCACAGGGTCGCTAGAGTCGGAACCAACTCCATGGCACACAACAACAACATCTAGGCAACGTGAAAACTATTCAGTGGGGACTCTTATCTCCCCCCCCCCCACTCTTAAACAAATCTCTCTCTTGAAACCTTCTAAGACAGTCATTTCAAGCCTTTATCATCCCCTCATTTTAGGTAGTCAGTGTCTAAGTTGCACATCCCTATCTACCCTGTATACAGAGGAGATAGCATTGATACTTGATGTGAAGACTCCTTCCCTCTCTGTTGGTATTTTGAGCTACTACCTCCATAAGTATAGATGAAGTTTTTCAAGTTGTAGCAGTTTACTCTCCTTTCCTTTATCAAAAATTATTATTATTTTTAATCTTTCTCTAGTTGAGTTCTGACTATCAAGCCATCAAGGCTAGGTCAGATGGGTACTATCTCAAGTACGGGTGTTCTTGTGCATCTCCCCTCACTTCATATCAGCTGGATGCTTCACTCTCAGCTTTAGCCTTCTGTGGCTATGTCCTTGTCCTTGTCCATGGGCTCAGGTGTCGCCTGGTCTCCCCACAATTTGGACCAACCAGCCCTTCCTCTTCTCTCTCTCATCTCCAAGTCAATGGGAGTGTATGGACCATGGTTGAACTCAGCCAATTTCTTCATTGCTGCCTTTCCCCCTCTTCCACTCACCAGTAGACCAGTGTGGTCGCCAGCAAGCTTACATATCTGCTCATGTGTTCCCTTTAAGTTTCAGTCTTAGAGGGGGTTTGTTCTGAAGGGACTTGATTGCTTGCCTTGATGGCTTCCCTGTGAACAACTTGCTTATTCTTGTTGTTAAGTGTCATTGAGTCGATTCTGATCCATAGCACATGGCATTTATTGACTGTGTACTAGGTCCTCTGCACAGAAATCTCCTTCAGTAGTATGGCACTGCAGACACATTATGTGAGCTCTTTGAGGGCAGGGACTGCAGTGGGTTAGCAAACCAGTAAAGACCGTGGATAGTATGGAAGTTGTGTGGCACTGTAGCATAGATAAATGAATTAAGACCATGGTAGTATTTATATTACTGGGTTTCACAGTCCAGCCCATTAACCCACAGGGCCACACCAGGATCCTAAAACTTCATAGGCAGATGGAATTTATTTACTTTCCCTTAGCAGGTAATACTTTTGAACTGCTTTGTAATTCCAAAGCACTTCTCCTTACACAGGCTAGTCTCATGATTCTGGTGCTGGCTGTCACAGTGACCCCTGCTTGAGTTGTTGAGCCTGACATAAGCTGATAGAAGTTTGTCGTACCATTCCAAGGTGAAGCAATATAGTTGACAGTAACGTGTCTTGATATGGGTCTCCTAAGGTGG